CATGGTAGGGATGTGGGATGGAGACTCGGGGATGTCCTTCACCCACCCTCACCTGCTCGCTCCGTAAAGCCATCAAGACTGAATCTCCAAACACAAACATCTGTTGCAATTTGGGGGGAAAGGTCTTTGAGGACTTGAGTTCTCTTGGCAGCTCGTCGTCGCTGAATGCTCGCTTGTGTCGGTGCCAACATCACCTACTAATTTAAGCAGCTCTTTCTCCTTCCCGGTGTTGATCTGACCCTCCTCCCAGTAGGAGTATTTATAGGTGGTAATCGGATCCCCAGCCAGCATTCACCTTGTGACATCAAGCTCTTTGCTTACAGCCGACCGCTTGTTCCCCCAACCTTCCTGGAGCGCGGCCCAGAACCCAATCCTGAGCGATGTCTTTGTGTTTGCTGCTTCAGATTATTCAGTATATCGGGGAAATCTGCAGGTACCTCCTGAACCAGCCGGTCCGAGAGTCGGAGACGCAGCACTGCGTGCGGCTGGCGGTGGGCAACGGCTTGAGGCCCACCATCTGGGAGGACTTCACCAAGCGCTTCCGCATCAAGCAGATCGGAGAGTTCTACGGAGCCACGGAGTGCAACTGCAGCATTGCCAACCTGGATGGGAAGGTGAGGGAAGAGGAAAGGTGGAGAGGAACGAGCAGAAGGGGAAAAGCTCTGCTTGCTGCCCCGGTTCTCTGCACATTGCATTCTAGAGATGGTAAAGAGCTGAATTGGTAAATAAGAGCAGCGTGCACACACACCAAAAAAGGAAAAACTCAGGGCAAATTTCCCTCTCAAACAGAGAGGGAATAAAGAGCAGAGAATTCCCAGCATACAAAACCCAAGGCATTTTGTTCAGCCTTATAGGTTGTTTTTTTTCCTGTCTTTTGGAAGGTCGGTGCCTGCGGCTTCAACAGTCGGATCTTGCCCAACGTTTATCCCATTCGTTTGGTGAAGGTGAATGAGGACACAATGGAGCTGATCCGTGATTCCAGGGGGCTGTGCGTCCCGTGCCGCCCAGGTGAGCCTTGACTTGAAGCCATTTCCTGCAGTTCTTCGTTCTAAGAACAAATACTTCAAGAGCTCTGATGGGTTTAAGGGGTTCGCGGTGTCGCATGCGGGTTTTCCCTTCTAGATCTCTGATCAGTTGCTTTAATGAAGATCTTTGGGACAAGCAATGATGTGATGGAAAACATCGTAACTCGGTGTTGTCTTGTGCTGTTCGGCCCTCTTTCCTGCAGGAGAGCCAGGATTACTTGTAGGTCAGATAAATCAACAGGATCCCCTGCGTCGCTTCGACGGCTACGTCAATGAGAGTGCCACCCACAAGAAGATTGCTTACAACGTGCTCCAGAAGGGGGACCAGGCCTACCTGTCAGGTACTGGGCTCACTGGTA